CCCCAAATCTTTCGGCGTGACAATGAAGAAGTTCAAAGGCATCTCCAGTGCTGTTTCTCTATGTCTGGATGCATCTTTATTCTTTCATGGGCTCATTCATTCCACAGAGCTTTCTGCAGCATCCCAGTAGTAATCTCTGATGGGCTCTTGGAGAAGCCCTTGCTTCGGGTGGACTCCTGTGGGACTTCCTTCGCTTTCATTGCCACGCTTTACCCATATTTTGGGCAGCAGATGGAGCTAAAATTTGATCATTCACAAGTTGGGGGAATAACATTATCATGATCACATCTAGCCAATACTATCATATAAGGTGATCTGTTGCCTGCCCTTGAGTTGATCCTGACTGATGGCAACCCTATCTAGCAAAGTAGAACTGGCCCCTAAGGTTTCCCAGGCTGGCGTTTTGTATGGGAGAGAGCAGTTACTAGGTCTTTTCTACCATAAAGTAACTAATGGGTTCAAACCATCAACCTTATGGTCAGCAGTTGTCTTGGTCATTTAGTGCTGTTATATCAGAAATACCATGGTGGCTGGCTTTGTCAAACAAATTGATTCTGAAGTCTGAGTTCTGAGTGGCAGCTCTAGGGGCAGACCTCTCTGTGGGCTCTGGGGGAAGGTCCTTGTCTCCCTTCAACACCTGTGGGCCCAGCATCCCTTGGAGACCCACATGTGTCTTGGTGTCAGACTTTCCTGGGTCCAAGGAAACCCTGCTCCTGGCTCTTTTTTCTTGATGGCACTGAGGTCCCTCCTTCCTCTTCTTATCCCTTGTAAGATCAAAAGCTAATGCAGGTCACACCCCAGGAAAACGCCCTTTACCAGCCCTATGCATCCCACCCTAAGCTCCTGATAACCGATCCGGTAATCACATCAAGTCACAACATAGGAGATGACCACATCACCGCGTAACTGCCACATTGCATCATTATGTAACTACCACGCTACCAAGAACACGAGTGCCGCCAGTCCACCTTATATAATCAGATGCCACTTTCGATTCCTACCACAGTCCTGGGAGAAAACATTCTTTTCTTTATTTATAGGAACTAGGAGTCAGAATGGGTTCTAGTTCAAACTTCTTTCTTTTTATAAATCATTTATTGTAGCAAATACATTTGTACACATGTTACCATCATTTCAAAAGATTTCTTGCTACTTGAGCCCTTGGTATCAGCTCCTCTTTTTTCCCCTCCCTTTCCCACCCTCCCACCCTCGTGAACCGTTGATAAATTAAAAATTATTATTATTTTCATATCTTATACTGTCCGCTGTCCCTTCACCCATGTTTCTGTTGTTCATCTCCCTTTGGGTGGGGTATACATTAATCATTGCAATTGGTTCCCCCTTCTCCCCCCACCTTACCCCTCCCCTCTTGCTATCACTACTCCCATTACTGTTCCTGAGGGGTTTGTCTGTCCTGGTTGCCGTGTGTTGAAAGCTCTTATCTGTGTGCATGCTGTGGTCTACCACATTTGTAAGGTAGAAATGGAGTCATGATAGTGGGGGGGTGGGGGGAACATTAACAAGGAATGTTTGTTGTGTGTTTCATTGGTGCTATACTGCACTCTGACTGCTTTGTCCCTTCCTTGTGACCCTACTGTGAGGGGATGTCCAACTGTCTACAGATGGGCTTTGGGTCTTCACTCTGGTTCTCCCTAGTTCATATCAATATGTTTTTTTGTTTTTGGTCTTCTGATACCTGATTATGTTGACACCTCATGATCACATAGGCTGGTTTGCTTCTTCCATGTGGGCTTTGTTGTTTCTCAGTTAGATGGCTGCTTATTTATCTTCAAGCATTTAAGACCCCAGATACTATATCTTTTAAATAGCTGGGCACCATCAGCTTTCTTCACCATAAGGGAAGGTGGGAGAAAGGAAGGGGAGAGCCAACAAACCCAGGGACAAGGGAACAACAAGTGATCTAAAAGCGATAGTGTGGGGGGAGGTCAGATGAGCAGGCATTCCCCCCACTGAAGGCAATCAGTTGCCAGACTGCTGTCTCATCCCTCCACAGGGGTGGGCCTGCTCCCTGCCTCTGGGGACAATGGACAGGCTCCTGTGGGCGGAGTTCGCATCCTACTGATAATGGTCTCTATCAGTTGGGCCAGGGACAGGCCAAACCGGCTGTCCCTCTTCCTATTGCATGTATGCCCCTAGACCACCCCCTCATTACTGTGTACCCTATAGTTTCTGCCTGTAATTAGTTTGTTTCTGCCTGTCATTAGTGGGCTGGCTTGCCCCCAAAAGGTATATAGGTGTGAGTCAGCAATATAGATCTCTCTCTGACTCTGAGCTCCTTGCTGCTCACTCCCTGGTCACTCCCCTCTCCCTTGTTCCCTTACCCTTCTTCCCTTCCCCCTCTCTCCACGTGGACCACCAAGCTGGGCTGAGGTGAGCAATGGTACCATGTAACATGCCTGGCTGTATTATTGTAATATCTCTCATGCTCTCGATGACTTTAATATAATACTTATATATCTCAACCGTACAATTGTGCATTACTGAACCCGTTGAGTAGTATTAGTAGCAGCGGGTGGGGGCTGGCCCTTCACCCCCCAGCGCCAATTTTTTAATTTAATACTACAGATAGTGAGGGGTAGCATAGAATGCCTGGGGTTTAATCAAACACAGTATAGCCAAAAGAAATTACTCAGAGCCGAATGAAGGTCGAATATGATAATGGGACAGGATGAATGTAAAAGGAAAGAGGGGAAAGAACTAGGAGGCCAAAGATGTTTTTAGAGGTCTAAATACAGGCATGTACGTATGTAAATATATTAATGTATAATGATAGGGATGTAGGTCTACGTACATCTATTTACAGGTTAAGTATTAAAATAGCAGACAGACAATGGGCCTCTACTTATGCCCTCCCTCAATGCAAAAACACTTTGTTCCAATAACTTGGCATTCTGTGATACTCACCTTCCCGACACGATTGCTGAAGACAAAATGGTACACAGTTCAGATTTCTTATGACTATACCATGGCCAACTATCATCTTTTTCCCCCAATTACCTTCTTTGAGTTTGACTGAACGCAACTGTGAAAGACACCTGCATCCTCCAGGCCTTCACAGTTGGACCGAGCGGCAGGTCTGAGATGAAGAACAGTGCCTTTGGGCACAGCAGTTCTTTGCTTTCTGTTTGCATGGGTTGGTATTTTCAATAAATGTGCTTTAACATGGGCCCTGTTGCAGGGGCTGAGGGCTTGGCTGCTCACCAAAAAGGTCAGTGGTTTGAACCTACCAGCAGCACTAGCCAAAGAAACTCAATCGCTTGCTCTCCTAGCAGGAGTGGATTTAAAAATATATAAAGACGAGTGGCTGCTGCTGAGTCTATCTGAGCCCCAGAGAATCCAGGGCTGGGTTTCAGAAGGAGATCATTACTCCTTTCTACCCAGGTGGCTCTGGATGAATGGAATTGTCAACCTCTTGAGCACCTTAGACTTTCGCATTGTGCAGGGACTCCAGGTGTCGACTACCCTCTGCCACCAAGTCCACTCCAGCTCATAGACACCCCTCGATAGGGGTGCCAAGTGGGCGATTTCCCTGTGTGTGTCTGTGTGTGCGCGGGGTGGTCCTGAATGACCCAGGAGCTGCTAAAGCACATATCTACCCTTTCTCCTGGACTATGGCATTACAGTACACAAGATTTTCGTTGCCTAAGGGGCATAGGCCAAATAAGTCTGGGAACCTGTGCTGTAAATCTTTATGGGGCAGGTGGCTTCCACTTTCTCCCCCAGATCAGCTGGTGGGTTTGACCCACTGACCTTACCCTTAGTAGTCCAGCACTTACTTGATAGTGTCAACAGGGCTCCCTACAAAAGGAGACAGACCTTTAAGAATCCCTTCTGCCCAGGGACCTCCTCGGCTGTGGCTCAGTTACTGGTGTCTTTGGTTTGCTTTGATGGTTACCCAGGACGACAGGAAGGAGGCACTGTCTTTAAAATGCTACTCAGGAAGCGCTCGCATGACAACGCCTTACCTTCGAGACCGTTGCCGTGAGCCAGTGCTGTCTGTCCTATGAAGCTGGGAAGCGCCATGACTAGCGCCTCCTTCCAGCTGCAAGGTGCACGCCGCCACTGTTTCCAGCGTCCGTGCCGTCCCCAAGACAGATTGTTTCCCGTAACTGGAACCAGGGATGGCCTGGGACTGTGCCCAACTTTCCATCTGTTCCAGAACCCAGGGGATGGCACCATTTAGAGTCAGAAAAGGATAGAAAAAGAGAGCTGCGGTAAAAGCTGGCTAAACACCCCAAGAAGAGAACCCCTGCTAAGCTCTCGGGCAGTGTGGGCCACAGACATCTGGCTTGCTAGAGAAACCAGCATTTCAGGGTCGGGGGGCACACAAAACACAACCTGGTGGGCCTTTTGTGGTCAGTACTGTGACCTGCCCAGACAGCATGGTCTACGTACTGGGCGGTGCTTGAAGTCTGATAATCAATCCTCTGCTACCCAGAGCAGAAATGCACACCCCACCTGGCAGTGTAGCCATTGTCCCCGGTAGTGTCAGGGAAGAGGGGGACGGAAAACGAGCTGATACCAAGGACTCAAGCAGAAAGAACATGTTTTGAGAATGATGATGGTAACATATGTACTAATGTGCTTGACACAATGGATGTAAGTATGAATTGTGATAAGAGCTGCAGATTCCCCCAATAAAACGGTTAAAAAAAAGAAAAACCAAAAAAGAGTGAAGAAGAGGCAGCGGCTGGCACTGGTTCTCCTGTGGCAAAGATGAACAGGTTCACATTGGCACAGTTAATCCCGTGCAGTGTCTGTATTCCATGCTGCCCTCCACCTGGAAGCTCGGCTGGGGCTTTGCTGTGTTGAGGGTACTTGCCTCCCAGAGTGGCCCCTCGCCCCTAGCTTTCCAGCCCCTGCAATGAGCAATCACAGCATGCCTTAGCATGAGAGGGAAAGAGGGGTGGCCGCCCTGTGTGTTGAGTGGTGCTGATTGCAGCTTTGTTTTGTAACCCCCAGGTCCTGAAGATGACAGAGCACAAAGGCACCCTCCAATGACAGGGGTGCCACCTCCGACTGGTGGCTCCCTGTTGATCTGAAGGAACTTGTCCACCGTCGTTCCTGAAAACCGCTTTCTCTCCTAATTCATGAGCCAGCAGGATGCGGTCGCCGCGCTTTCAGAACGCCTTCTCATAGCTGCGTACAAAGGCCAAGCAGAGAATGTGGTTCAGCTCATCAACAAGGGCGCCAAGGTAGCGGTTACCAAGGTAACGGGAGAAGAAACTCTAGCCATTCCCTGGGAACCAGCCTACCTCCTAACCATTGTCTGCAAAACTGTTGTGTTTGGTTCACAGCTTTCAAAGAACTTGCTTTTCTTGCAGTGAGGGGGGTTGGGGAGCAGGAGGGGGAACTAAACACGCTTTCAGTGCCATCTTTGAAACGCAGTAACTTGTCATTAGCCTTTGACAGTCCTGAGAATCACAGGATGGCTTTCCTCACCTACTCCTTTTGGACAGGGGATCTCTTTGGAGATGTTGGGACACAAAGGCTTACCGGGGGAGGTCTCTGGTGGATAATCACGTTAGACAGGCTGGCTAGGCAGATGTGCTACCCTGTTTCCCCAAAAGTAAGACATCCCCGAAAATAAGACCTACATACAGTTTTGCCTCTCACTGAAATATAAGGCATCCCCCCCAAAAATAAGACATCCCAAAAAATAAGGGTTTGGATTGTTATGATATTCCAGAAGATGATCACATGACTTCCATTGAATAAATGAGTGAATGTACCATAGATTGCTGTACATGGAAATAATGGTAGTAACAAGAAATTCTTGATGCTGTAGGATTCACAGTTTGTCTGGTTATGCTGGTTTGTGATGACAACTACTACCGTATTGTATACAGGTAATACATTTCCTTTTTTGTTGTTCAACAATAAATGTGTACCATATTCTTCATGGAAAAATAAGATATCCCCAGAAAATAAGACCTAGCGCATCTTTGGGAGCAAAAATTAATATAAGACACTGTCTTATTTTCAGGGAAACAGGGTAGCTTGTGGCCAGGCAGCCCCTCCGCCTGCTCCATACCCCATCACCCTCATCTGTGCAGTGGTGGGCCTGGCCGAGATGACTGCCATGACCTCTTAGGGGTCTGATTTTAGATGGGTCAGGGCCCTGCCCCACACCAACAGATAACGTTGTGAGAGACAAGAGAGCATGCTGGCCCAAGGGCAGTTCATAGTAAGACCTGGAGGAAAGGCAACCTGCACAGGAAGGTGACAATTTGAAACACATGCGCCAAGTAACAGTGGGGTCAAACCCTTACCATATACTTAGCATTGCTCTTAGCCCCTGCCCCGTCCTGACGCATTTCCTTCCCTCAGAAGATGTCTAGCAACGTTTCTGCCCCATCCTGACTGTAGCTACAGATGCAGAGACTGAGGCACAGGGAGGTTTAAAGAACTAGCTCGATGTCCCACAGCTGCCAAGTGGCAGAGGTGCAGGTGTTCAAAGGCCCTCTCTCCAGACCACGCGTGGAGAGCTGTGGCAAAGACTGGCCAGGGCGCACGCACTCCCTGGTTAATCACCTGCAGTCTGTGGACAGCAAACCTGAGAGAGCCGGAACTTGGCGGGGCTGCCCTGTTTGTCCGGGTCTTCCAAGTTTTCTGCCTCTGACGGGCTGCAGGTTTGCTGCTTTTCTATCGCTCTTTCCAGTGGAAACAATGTGAAGTTTCCTCCTCTGACAGGTCTCTGCCTCAGATGGACTCTTAGTTTTCACTTAGCATAATAATTTTGAGATTCATCTGTAATGTAGCATGCATCACCACCATGTTCCTGCTGTTCCGTTGGATGATATATTACATTTTGGGTAGACATTTTGTAGACATTTTATTTATTTATTTTCCCCTTGTTCGGGGCTTGCTATGCACCGAACTGTGTGGTCCCCAGTATGTGCTGTAGATCCTAATCTCTCATGCTGGTGTGGTTCCAATCCCATTTGGGAATGGCTGTCTCTGTTAATGAGACAGCATGAGAGTAGGGTGTGTCTTACACCACGTCTCTTTGGAAATATAAGAGATGAGCAAGCAAGCAAAAGACCCAGAGACAGGGGAAGAGAGACGGGAAGTCCTCTGAAGATGGCCCAGGAGACAAAGCTCACGAGGGACGGGACCTTCCTCCAGAGGCTCCAGGGGAAGCCTCTCCCCCTGCGGCTGGCACTCTCGAATGGACTTCGGGCCTCCTGAACAACATGTCCAAATACCTTAGTTTTCACATCTATTTAGTAAATCATCTAATTTCTTTCTTACAGCTACTTTGTGAGGTGTGTTTTGGGAATGAAGGAACTTAGGTTCAAAACCACTAAACAGCCCACGAAGGTTACATCGTTGACACATAACATAAAGGTTCTCCACTTAAGAGGTTCTGAAGTCAGTGTTTTTTCCACAGTCCTACTGGACCAACGAAGGAGCCCTCGTGGCATATTGGTTATGAGGTAGGTTGCTGAACACGAAGTCAGCAGTTCAAAACTACCACCTGCTCTGCGAGACAAAATAGAGGCTTTCGACTCCCATCTAGAGTTATAAACCAGAAACCTACAGGCAGTTCTACCCGGTCCTATAGGGTCTCTATGAGTCAGCACGACTCAATGGCAGTGAGTGTGGCTTGGACCAGGCCACCGTAAGAGAGAATGGACAGTCTTGGCACTGGCACCCTCATGCCATGGTGAGGAAATCCATTTGTCTCCGCAAACCACCGCGTGTAGCATTTCTGGTACCGCAGCAATAGATAACAGACAGAGCTGGTGTGAATAATGCTTCTGTGGACGTCCACATACAAACCTTCATCTGGACATATATTTTCAATTCTCTTGGATGCAAACCTAGCAGTTGCAAAGTCACATGATAAATCCACATGGGGCATCCACGTGTAGAAGCTGCCCAACTATATTCCAGCGTGGTTGTGGCCATTTTACATTTCCACAGTATGGTAATTACATAATCTGTTGTCAGTTTGAGACTAAGGAGTGAAGGGGTGGAGTTTAGCCCGTCAGCCAGGTCGCAGCTTGATGACCTAATTTGGAGGCGCTAAGGAGATAGATAGCTTGCTGGAGGTGGGCCACAGATTCACTCCCTGTGAGACACTGCAGCTGACAAGACACATGGAGCGACGCTAGTGCTCTGAGCTGGAGGAGCTACGCCGAGACCCCTGCCAGTGCTGAGATGATTCCCACACCACTGGATCCACAAGACTTAGCCACCTACTGGCCTGTGATCTTCTGGCATTTGGCATTATTGCATGGCTGCGTGAGTCTAAAGAAGAATTCATGGACTAGTATTGGACATATGGGCTAGTATTGGACTTGATCTGGACTGAGTTGGGATGTTTTCTCAATGTACACTTACTCTTTGATATAAAGCTCTTTCTTATACACATATGAGTGTCTGTGAATTTGTTTCTCTAGTCTACCCAGACTAACACACACAGCAACATCAAAAGTGCCTCCATTTCTCCGTGCTCTGGCCAATATTTGTTATTGCATCTTTAAAATTTTTTTTACTTTTAAAGTTGTTTTTATCAAAGTAATGCACACACACAGGAGCTTTAAAAGTGTGGGTTTCAATAGCTGCCTGAAGACCTTTGTCAAAAGGCAGCTCTCCCCTTGCCGACCCCCATTCTGTCTGAAGATGCGACTTGTAAATTGCTCAGCCTTTTGGCTTTCTGGCGTTTACATCACTTTGTAATGCATATCCACATAGGAGTACAGTCATTTGATCAATCCATTGCATGTTTAAGTAAAAAAACATTTTGAATGTTATTTTGATCTTTATGTTGTGCAGGCACACAAAGAGCTGTCTCTCTCTGCCGTGTTTGCTGGCCCACGGCCGAGTCCCCAGAGCACCTTCATCTTGTTCAGTAGATTGTTTTCCTGTTTATCTCCTTATCCTAAATGACATCGCTAATCCTTGATTTTTCAGTTGTATGCCTTCTGTGTTCACGGGAGAACATCTTAAAAATATGAAAATTGAGTACTTAAGATTTGCTTTTCTTTTGTCTACCCCTTTCTGCATGCACACATTGCCACCTACCCTCCTCTCAGCATAGTGATGGCAGCACTTGAGTGACAGCAGGTTTGAGGCTTTATATTCATGCTGCTTATCATTGAATTGTGTGACACACTGTTAATGCATTTCCTTTCCTGCAGTATTTGTTTATACCAGGGCCAGCGATTGTCTAGTGCAGCGGTTCTCAACCTGGGTCATGACGCCTTTGGGGGTTGAAGGACCCTTTTGCAGGGATCTCCCGATTCATAACAGTAGCAAAATTACAGTTATGAAGTAGCAATGAAAATAATTTCACGGCTGGGGGTCACCACAACATGAGGAACTGTATTAAAGAGTCGCAGCTTTAGGAAGGTTGAAAATCGCTGGTCTAGTGTTTATTTCCTTGATTTGGGCTCAACTATCACTGATTCATCTCCATACTCTAGCCCAGTTGTGAACACCTGTATTGAGAATGTCCAAACATGCTCTGATTATAGGCTCCTGGGGCTGCTGGCAGTTGTTTGGGAACTGTCTTTATCACTCTCGCTGCTTTTGTTGTTGTTGTTTTGAGTTGCTTTGCTTCGTTACTTTATTTGGATGCGGTATATCAACTGTAGAACATTTTAGAGTAATGGACATAATCAGCGGGTGCTGTCAGTGTGGTAACCACGAAGCACAGGTATTATTTACTAGTTGCTGCATTTAACAAAAAATACCACACATAGGTGGCTTTAAAGAACAGGCATTTATTTTCTCACAGTTCCATGAGACTAGAAGTCTGGATTCAGGCGGGGTTTTAAGGGGAGTTATGTATCTATTTTAGCTGCCAGTAATCTTTGGTGTTCCTACACTTGGCAAACTTTGGGCTGCTTGCCTCAGGGTTGGTGGTTCACCCCTGCAAGCTGCCCCAGGGGACAAAGCGGATGCTGTTTGCTCCCGGGAAGAGGGACATCCTCCAAACCCCGGGTAGGGTGCTATGAGTCAGAATTGACTCCAGGGGAGTAGTTTTTTTGTGGGGGAGGAAACTCGTAGAAGCATCTTCTGTGAATGTTTACTTCATATTGTGTCGTTCATCCAATTCTGGCATGCCTTTCTAACATAAGAAAAGGCACCTCTCTTTTCAAACAAGCTCATATTTATAGGTGCAGAGGCTTGTACTGCAACACATTCTCGGGGGGACAATCCAATGCAGAAAACCCATGTGGCTATGAAAATTTCCTAG